AACTACCAGAACTTATGGGATGCAGCGAAAGCTGTATTAAGGGGAAAATTTATAGCTCTGCAAGCCTATCTTAAGTCGATAGAAACGATGCACATAAACAATTTGACCTCACAGCTCAAGACCTTAGAAAAGGATCAACAGAAAGAGCCTAAATCAGGCAGAAGGAAAGAGATCATAAAACTTAGAGCAGAAATCAACGACATGGAAAACAAAGAAACAATCCGAAAGATCAATGAAACCAAGAGCTGGTTCTTCGAGAAAATAAATAAGATAGATAAACCACTAGCAACACTCACAAAGAAACAGAGAGAGAGAACCCTAATAAATCGAATCAGAAATAAGAATGGGGATATCACAACAGAAACTAAAGAAATTCAAGAGATCATCAGAGACTACTTTGAAAGTCTCTATGCCACGAAACACGAGAACCTGGAAGAAATGGATAAATTCCTGGATTCCTACCATCTCCCAAAGCTGAATCAAGAAGATATAGAGTACCTGAATAGACCCATTCACATCAAGGAAATTGAAACTGTAATCAAAAGTCTTCCCAAAAACAAAAGCCCAGGCCCAGACGGATTTACTAGCGAATTTTTCCAAACATTTAAAGAGGACCTATTGCCAATTCTTCTCAAGCTTTTCCAGGAAATTGAAAAAACAGAAACTCTCCCAAACAGCTTCTATGAAGCCCATATCTCTCTAATACCAAAAGGAAACAAAGACACCACAAGAAAAGAAAACTACAGGCCAATATCCCTGATGAACACGGATGCGAAGATTCTCAACAAAATACTAGCCAATAGAATACAACAACTCATCAAAAAGATCATACATCATGACCAAGTGGGATTCATCCCAGGGATGCAAGGATGGTTCAACATTCGGAAATCAATCAACATAATCCATCATATCAACAAAAGAAAAGATAAAAATCATATGATCATATCAATAGATGCAGAGAAAGCTTTTGACAAGATCCAGCAACCATTCATGATGAAAACCCTTGCCAAAATGGGGATAGAGGGGACTTTCCTCAATATAGTTAAAGCCATCTACCACAAACCTACAGCAAACATCATCCTCAATGGGGAAAAACTGAGACCCTTCCCCCTAAGGTCAGGGACGAGACAAGGATGCCCACTCTCTCCACTACTGTTCAATATAGTACTGGAAGTACTTGCAATAGCGATTAGGCAAGAAAAAGATATTAAGGGCATCCAGATAGGGAAAGAAGAAATTAAGCTCTCACTATTCGCAGATGATATGATACTATACTTAGAGAACCCTAAAACCTCTACCAAGAAACTCCTAGAAACAATAGGCTTGTATAGTAAAGTGGCAGGCTATAAAATCAATACCCAAAAATCCATGGCATTCCTATACGCAAATAGTGAAAGAGAAGCAAGTGACATCAAGAAAACAATCCCATTCACAATTGTGCCCCAGAATATCAAGTATCTAGGAATCAGCTTAACTAAGGAAGTAAAGGACCTGTACAAGGAAAACTACAAAACGCTACTTCAGGAAATAAAAGAGGACACGAGGAAATGGAAAAATATCCCCTGTTCATGGATGGGGAGAATCAACATCATCAAAATGGCAATACTTTCCAAAGCACTGTACAAATTCAATGCAATCCCTATAAGGATACCCATGACATTCTTCAAAGAAATGGAGCAAACACTCCTGAAATTTATGTGGAACAATAAGCCCCCACGAATAGCTAAAGCAATTCTTGGGAAAAAGAAAATGGGAGGAATCAACCTCCCTAACTTCAAACTCTACTACAAGGCAGTAATAATTAAAACATCATGGTACTGGAACAGAAGCAGAGCTGCAGACCAATGGAACAGAGTTGAATATACTGACATTTCCTCCCAAACATATAATCATCTAATTTTTGATAAGGGGGCAAGAAAAGTGAAATGGAGCAGGGAAAGCCTCTTCAACAAACTGTGCTGGCAAAATTGGACGGCTACATGCAAAAAAGTGGGCTCAGATCTCTGCCTAACACCATGCACAAAAGTAAGATCAAAATGGATTTATGACCTCAACATCAGACCAGAATCCATAATGTTTATTGAAGACAAAGTCGACAAAACTCTCCATGATATTGAAGCTAATGGTATCTTCAAAGATGTCACGCCACTGGCCGAGCAAGTGAAAACAGAGATAGACAAATGGGACTATCTTAAACTAAGAAGCTTCTGCACCTCCAAAGAAACAGTGACCAAAATACAAAGACAGCCTACAGAATGGGAAAGGATATTCACCAAGTACACATCCGACAAGGGGTTGATATCAAGGATATACAAGGTACTGGTTAAACTCCACAAGAAGAAATCACCCAACCCCATCAAAAAATGGGGTGAGGAAATGAACAGAAACTTTCACAAAGAAGAAATTCGAATGGCAAAAAGGCACATGAGAAAATGCTCTACATCACTAATCATCAGAGAGATGCAGATCAAAACCACAATGAGATATCATTTCACACCACAGAGACTGGCCCACATCCACAAGAACAAAAGCAACCGGTGCTGGCGCGGATGTGGCGAGAAAGGGACCCTCCTTCACTGCTGGTGGGAATGCCGGCTGGTCCAACCCTTTTGGAAAACAGTATGGACGACTCTCAAAAAATTAGAATTTGATCTGCCATTTGACCCAGCTATAGCACTCCTGGGAATATATCCCAGAGAGGCAAAAAGGTATAGTCGAAGTGACATCTGCAATTGTTTGTTCATTGCAGCACTCTTTACAATAGCCAGAATCTGGAAAAAACCTGAGTGCCCAAGAACAGATGACTGGTTAAAGAAACTTTGGTACATTTACACAATGGAGTACTATGTAGCTATTAGAAAAGATGAAGTTATGAAATTTACATACAAGTGGTACTACATGGAAAGTATCATGTTAAGCGAAATGAGTCAGAAAGAGCGGGATAGACACAGAAAGATTGCATTCATCTGGGGAACATAAAGCAACAAAAAGGGAGAGTGACACACAGGAATGGCTGAGATTAGTACCAGGAATTTTGCTCCATGAATGGAAGGCCAGCCACAGGCTCTAGGTGAAAAGGAAGCTCAGATAGAGAAGAGAGTACCAAATGAAGGGTGTTGTGAGGGCCCTCCCAGGGTGGGAGAAGCATGCTAAAAGTAGTCGATAGACCAAACATGATTGCCACTCAAAGCCTCTCTTGCAAAACACAGTACCCAAAAGAAGAGAGAGAGAACAAGGGGGAATACCCTGCCACAGAGGCAGGATGGGACGGGGTGGGGGGGGATGAGGGTGGGGGGGATGCTGGGACCCATGGGGATGGATGACGGGCACTGGTGGAGGTATGGGGACTTGATCATTGTATAACTGAATCCCAAGCACAAAATTTGTAAGCCTATAACTGTACCTCATGGTTTTTCACTAATAAAAAAAATTAAAAAAAAATAATCACTTAAATAATCTTAACTACATTATGAATTTCATAGTTTATTCAAAACTCAGCTTCTAAAGTTTTGCTTATATAAAAGCAAATATATTTTTATTAATATATTTCTATTCTCCAAAAACATTTCTCATTTCTCTGCAAGGAATAGGAAGTGTATATAAAACTTTAGACAATAATCAATATTTTGAAATCTCAACTGTTATTTGAAATCAGAGACTACTAAGTGTTCTGCACTGTCCTTCCAACAACAAATCGGTTGTTTATCAATTTGCTTGAGCGAGCCCAGTAATGTCTCCATTGTGAGACTTGTTGTTACTGTGTTTGGCATATGGAATACGTCATGGGTAACTTGCCAGGATTTGCCTTGTGGGCGTGATACTCTCAGTAGCTTACTGGGCTCTCTGAGAGGGGTGGAGGAATTGAACCCGGCTCGGGGCAGGCCCTGCGCAAGGCAAAGGCCCTACCGCTCTGCTATTTGGTAATTTTAGACTATCGCTTAACATGTAAATTTGCTTCTAATGACATAAGTAAGTCAACTAAAATTGTTCATGGCAATTCTTAATGACATAGAGGTTCAAAATCAATTCTTCCTTTATAAAATGAAACTTCAATGATAAAATATGTTTATCAACATGCTATTGCTGCAAGGTAATTTATAATGTTTTTGAATACATATATTTGTATTAGTTCCTTAATTTCTCTTTTTGTCAGGAAGAATCACTGTGATAGATCTTACCTACTCTGAGAACTGGGTAGGTGATTCCTTTAGCTGTTAAACTCGTTATGCTAACCTTTATCTTAACACCTGGCTTCCATATGGCAATTCAGTATCACAGAATGAGGTGTGTGCTCTCTATGTGTGTGCCTATGTGTGTGTGTGTATGTGTGTGTGTGGAAGGTACTCTCAGTTGGATCAAACTAAATTATTTAGAAGTGTACCACTAATCCCATAATGCTCTTCAATTGTGATATTTTGATGAATGTCCTTGCATAAAACATATGCATTCAAAAATACACTTATAATTTATGTTTTTATGTTTCTAAAAGTATGATAAGTTTAATCAGCACTTAAATCTTATCTTTGATTTTAAAAAAACAGTATCTTTGGTATATATTAGGGCAATAAAAAAGTAATACAAAATTTGTCTATTCTTTTTTTCCTGCTTTGGTCTTTAAATAATACAAGCAACATGCATATTTCATGTGTCCTTATTATATTTTAAGCTTTCGAGGGACGGAGGTTGCTCCTGAGGTTTCTTGGTATCCTAAGTACAGTAGCTGACATTATTTGTGCTGACATAATGAATGAGCAGGGCTGAGACTTGCTGTGGTGGTGTTTCCTTCTGTTTCAGATAAGGCAATTAAAGAATCATGAAGAACCCTATTAAAGAGGTGAGGACTACAGTATTGATTAAAGTAATGTAGCTGCTATCCTAGATTTGATCTTAAAGATTTGCAGTAGCTAGTGAAAAACATGGTAAGCTATTATGGAAAATTGTATGAGTTATGCTTTATATTACTTTATTATGATTATGGAAAAATTTCAAATGTAAGTCACCTTGAGAGAAAACTGGTACATTGGGTGAATCTTGCTGAGGTCATTCATGATGAAGTAGAGCATGGAGGCGCGGGCGGCAGCTGGTCGGTAGTGCTCGCGAGCATCATTGATCTTCACTTCAGTCACCTTGGCCTCCTGCACCTGTCAGAAAGGGTCCATAGTTCACACTGAGCAGGGCTTTCTGAGAAGCTGTTCTTTATGCGAAAGTGTGTGTGTGTGTTTGTGTGTGTGTGTGTGTGTGTGTGTATGGATTGGCATGAAGAAAGTGGAGTGGATGGAAGTCTATTTAATGAGCCCCGGGTATTAAATAAAATTATACCATTCCAGCCTCTCACAGGATAAACGTGTCAATCCCCTCATTGTGAATTATGGTCTGATATCTGTTCCTATCAGCTTACTACCTAATTTGTCTTCTCTATCTGAGGTCAACAGATTAAATGGATTTTAGAGCAGAGAGTTTGAGTAGGAGCTTGCTCTGTCCAATCCACGCATTGGATTGACCTTTTTTTTTTCTTTGTCTTTTTCTGAAGAATGGGTGCTTATTTTTATGCACAGAAATAGTTCCAGGAAATAGCCTGGAGAATGTCCCCAGGTCCTGGGTGGCCACTGAACATTCTTGTCCTCCGGGCAGGCCAGCTGGGTGAGGGAGAGAGGTGGACAGCATAAATTGGAAAACTCTTCAGCTCCAAGGGTCAACTTGTAAGCCAGCAGGGGCCAGACCCTCAGCAGCCTTTGCTGGAGCACTTGGCCCCCTGCCCTACACACTGGGAGATTAATCAGAACAGGAGGGGGTGCTGTCTGGGACCCACTGCCCACGATGCACAGCCTCAGGAGCTTGGTCACCTGGGGCCCTGGAAACATCTTCACTGTGTGTCTGCGGCAGGAGACTGGACAGGGGCCAGAATGGGGTAGGTGGGGGTGGTGATCACATTTTTGATGACCCTGCTGGAACTTGGCCAGTTCTTGTAAAAATGGGTGCACAGATCTCTTAGCTCCATTTTTTAACATAAATTATCGTGTAGACATACCAAAACCCATACATATTAGTTAAAAGCAAATTCCAGGTTGTGGAAATCTAATAATGGAAGCATAACATACATTTTTTTATTAGAAAGAAGAACAGTATAATTTATTTTGTAAATTGGTGATATTCATGGGCTACTTTTGACTCTGTGCTCAGGAGTGGCCTGAGCACAGAGTTGATGCATAGGGACCATATATGGAGACAGAACTGGGGTAAACTGCATGCAAGGCAAGCACCTTACCCTATGTACAATCTCTCCAGTTAATTTTCTTAATTCTTATGAAAGTTAACATATAAAGTCAACATAGAGAACATCCAATTCAATTTTCAGTAACTTTCTGGTCGAGATAAAGGAGACATAAGAATCAGAGAGTTTTTTAAGAGCATCTACTAAACATACATACGTCTCAGTATAAACGGAAATGCTCCAAAACCTGTCAAAAGCCCAAACTACAAAATAAATTTAAATTTTAATTCTTAAGCAGAGAATCAGCTGTTTCCCAAGACTCCTCATTCCTACTCTTCCCCCCACTCAATTGTGTAGGTCAGTTCTCTCATTACATTGTCTCTGAACCTTTGTCGCTTCCTTGATATGTGCCTTAAGTCCCACACATGAGAGAGATCATTCTGTATCTATCTCTTCCCTTTTGACTGACTTCACTAAGCATGAGATCCTCTAGTTGCATCCATTTTGCTGCAAATTGCATGATTTTGTTCTTTCTTAGAGATGCATCATATTCCACTATGTTTATGTACCAAAACTTCTTGATTCATTCATTTGTGCTTATGAAGCCCAAACTTTTAATCATGGTTTACCAAGCCTTTTGCAATGTAATGGAAAATTAATTGCAAAAATTCATTTCCTGCGCATTTCAAACCTCTTCTACAGACACTTAACTAAGGAAAAATACCTCCTCATAAAGCACTAATTTACAGTGTGTTAACATTTTTCCGATCTTCTACCAAAACCCTTCATCCCATCATTTGTTACAAGTTGCCTGTTAACTTATCCTCACCTTGGAGAGCAAAGAACTGCAAAAGATTGGGATTCCAGCAAATTCACAAATTCACTTTTGCACTCCTAAATTTTGTCACAGAAAATATTGCACTCACAAGATAGTACTCATTTGATAAAAAAAGAAATATTACAAAAAAGAATCTTCAAAAGAAAAAGTAGCTCCATGGAGGTTTTGGCACACATCAGGCACTTTATTTATTTATTTATTTTGGGGGGTCACACCTGGCAATGCACAGGGGTTACTCCTGGCTAATGCACTCAGGAATTACTCTTGCCTATGCTCGGGGGACCATATGGGATGCTGAGAATTGAACCCAGGTTGGCCGCGTGCAAGGCCTACATCCTACATGCTGTGCTATCGCGCCAACCCCGGCACTTTAAAGTCTTTAAGGAGAAAAATGAAGATGGGAGACAATGAGAAATTAGGAAGAAGGTATCAGTATATATGTTATATCTTCTGATTTACTTCTTCTTTATTAATTGGCCTTTATATCCCTGTATCTTCTACCACAGTTACTTTACAGCTCTGAATGTGCCTCTCTCTGCTGGAATCCAGATAACCAGCAATAAATCCTGGGGTTGCACAGAGGCCACAGGTTGAAGTGAAGTTGGACCTAATTTCTTTGAGTATTATTCAAACTTTAGCTACCTGTTATTATTATTAGCAGATAACCTGCTTTATTTGTCTCGCCTTCCATTACTTTTCATGTTTCTTTCCTTTTCCCTACCCAGATCAGACTTTCATATTTGCAGAAATTTCGATACTCCATCAATGAGAGTATTATTGAATATATGTTTCCCTCAAAGCTTATTATTTCTTACAAACACATGAATCTTACTCCAGATTCATTGTCTTAATCACTCCTCTATCCAGTATCTCAATTACTCTTCTGATTGAAGAGCAGCACTGTGTAAGGGCAGATTCAAGCAACCTTTGGGAAAGGTAGGGTTTGACCCAATCAAGTCATGTTTTGTAGCCCTTACAAGAGGGCATAAATAGTTTCTAAATAAAGGAAAGGAATGAAATCATAAATAAACTTATTTTCCTATGATGAAACCACTATTGAGAGTGAGGTTTTCCAGGAAGTCACTGGAGCTCTCATTAAAATGAAACTTGTAAAGCTGCAAGCCTAGAAACCCACAGGTTTCTAGATACAACCATGCCCTAATCAGTTGATTTATACAACAGTAAACCTTAAGGCAGATCCACAAAATTGAGTTATCATTTCCTGTACAGAATGAAAATTCCTGTTCAGAAACAGAAGTTCTAGAAACATTTGGGGAAATAAGTTGTCAAAAGAATTTCTAAGCTGGTGGGAAATTCATCTTCCAGGATGTAGTCATTCCAGGAAGCTGACCTAACACGATCTTTTCAGAAGCAATGTGGGAAGGTGGAAAAACCATGTGTTGTTCTGACTTTTTCCTCCCCCTGTAAGTTGGAGCAGGTCTTATAGCAAGCGGTACTTAAGAAGCTGGCAGTGTAAATTTTACCTTTTCCTCAATTTCTGCAGCTGTCTGCTTGGTGATTTCAAGGTTCTCCACCAAGGCAGTTTCTCCCAGAAAGTTCCCAGATGCTGAGGAAAGGCGAGAGAGCAGGTTGTCTTCCAATGTTTTGAGAGTAATTTTGAAGCCATTTTGCTGTTTTGTGAGCTCTGACTGCAAATTTCAAGTAAAAGGGAGCAATGTTTAGATGCCCAGAGTATCTTGGAGTTGATTTGAATAAATACATGCTAGGGCTAACAGATACATTTTAAGTCTTTCCACTTAGAAGCAACAAACTGGAAGTAGACAGCACATGGTGGTTAAGCAGAATCCATGTGTGAATAAAGTGAAGTGATGAGTTAAATCTGAACTGAATCTTATTAGTCATGCCACCACGGACTCAGTTACTTTCTTTATACCTCAGTAACCTCAACTGGGAGGTGTTTCTCAGCTGGGACACTTTGTGGCGAACAGACTTTAATCTGTTCACTGAATGGAATGTATTTTTGGGACTAGTTTAGAGTTGTTTTAGTTTTATGAATAGTTCTCTATATTACTATTTTACTGTTCCCAAATAAATATCTACCCATTAATAATTTTTTTTTTTGGAAAAAGAATCAACAGAAACTGTCTACAGTGTTCTTACACAAGATCACCATGGAACTCTTCTCATGTTAGAGTGGGATGCTGGTGTCCAAGCCTCTTTGAATTTATCTTTATTTTCTGATTGTTCTATATCATCTGCGACACACTGGACACTCTTTGTTGAGGGGCACTGTAACTTTAGGTTGCTATAGTTTCTTTCCTTTACTAAGTTTTGGATTCTTGCTTCTGGATCCTTAGAAATTGTAATATTCTTCTTTAACTATGTAGCTTCAGTTACTCTAGCTTGTAGTGTGTCCATTAAAAACACATACCTTAATACTTCCGTAAGACCAGTGTTCATTATTCTATCTGCCAGAACGCTCTGTACTAAAATGCTTTCAAAATATTTACGAGTTAGTTATGAGCTAATTCAAATATCACCCCCTTATAGAAATGTTTGCTAATCTCTCCAATTTAAGTCCTGTTCTCTGATTGCACCACCTTTATCTTATACAGAATTATTTTTAAGAGCTTACAATAATGTATTGTTTTTATTTACAATTAATTAATTTTAATATTTTACTGTATCTAGTTAACATGGTTACAATAGTATTGACATTTTTAATTCTGTTGTACAAAGTCATTAGATCATCACCATGACCTTCCAACACTTCACCCCCCAATTTTATTTTATGAGAACTCTATGAGTTATAAAGTTATCATAGTTGGGTAACTTCCAAAGACTTTATAAAATATCTAGTTATCATAGTTTATTCATATGTTTATAAAAGTACTAACATAATTTTTTGTATAACTTTATCTCATGTCACCACCACCAAAATGCTTAAGATCCTCAACCTACATAATAATGTAATTATGTAACTTCTGGCCCAGCTGATTGCTCCTCTCACATAATCCCATCACCTGGTATTCTTAGTTCAAAAATTATTATCAGTATTATTATATAAAGTGACATTTTATCGTGAATAATCTTATTTTATTTCTGTCCCTTTCCCTTTCCCTTCCCCTTTGCTGTTGCGTGATGAGCAAGAGACGTGTCCATTTGGTTATCTTGCTCAGGGTCATATGCTTTATTTATTGTAGAACTCACACAATCTTTGTTGCTGCATGCCAGTTATTGCTTTTTGTGGTGTGGGACTCACAGAGAGAGGTCAGAAAGTAGGTGATAAGGGGAAACAAACTTATAGTCTCATACTTGCAAGGCAGGCAGGCTATAACGAACCCACATCCCTGAGCACTAAATTCCTATTTTTTTCTTCTCCATTACATTATATGCCTCAGGAGGACAAGGATTTGTTTTTCTTCACTGCTGAATACTTTGAAACTGTAGTTTTCCCTATTAGAGAGTTGGTACAATGAATGGACATAGGAAACAATGACCCAGAGAAACCTGAACTCCATTTCATAAGGCGCCGTTAACTATAGAACTACATTTTGTAATCTAAATACACCTAGAAAGGGAAAAAGGGTACTTCTGGCTATGGATTTGTGTGCCCATTTGACAAGTGAAGCCTTCACTGTCCCAGGTTACTGGACTGCAGATACGACCTTTGAAGAAGCATTTAAGGTTAAACGAGGTCATGACTTTGAGGTCCTGATTTGATGTCATAAGTGATCATAAGTAGAGACACCAAGGTATTTTATCTATTATTTTCTATCCCCATAGATGCATATGTATATGTAGTGACTCATGTACATGCATGTGCACACACACAGACACACACACAATGAAATGGTTTGTAGGCATAAGAGTGAGAAAGTGACCAACTAAAAACTAGGGGGAAATCTCTTTAGAAACCAACCATGTTGGCTGGCCTCCATTTATTATTCAAAGTTCCAGAACTCTGGGAAGATAAATTTCTGCTACCTTGTCTGTGGTATTTTTATATAGCAGATTAAAATATTACCCTAATTTTTTGAAACTATGATGCTGGCAAAATTGTTTGTTTGTTTTTTGCTTTTTTGGGTCACACCTAGAGTTGCATAGAGGTTACCCCTGGCTCACAGGAATTACTTCTGGTGATGCTCAAGGTACCATATGGGATCTTGTGAATTGAACCTGGGTCGGCCACATGCAAGGCAAACTCCCTACCCACTGTGCTATCGCTCCAACCCTCTATGCTGGCAAAATTGAATGTAACTTATTTCTGGACAAAACATGTGACAAGTATGATGAAAAGCCCTAATGAGCAGGCCATACTATGTTCAAAGAGCTTTGGTAGGACAAAAAGAAAAATTACAGACATTTACCCTGATGAATAAAAAGCAAAGATCCTAAAAAAAAAGAAAGGAAGGAAAGAAAAATCTTACAAATTAAATCCAAAGGCACATCAATGGATCACACCATGGCCAAGTGGGATTCAACCTGGAGACGCAAGGGTGGATTAACACATGCAAATCAATGTTATATACCATATCAATGAAAAAAATTATACAATCATATAAGTACATGCAAAGAAGCATTTGACAAGGTCCAACAACTTATTCATATAAAAACTCTCAATAAAATTGAAGTTAAAAGAAGTTTCCTCAACATAGTCAAATCTATCTGCCACAAACCCACAGAAAACATCCTCAATGGTGAAAAACTGAAAGCATTCCCTCTAAGATCACTGACAAGACAAGGTTTCTCATTCTCACCATTTCTATTCTGTATAGTATTGGAAGTACTTGCTATAACAATTAGGTGAGAAAAAGATATTAAGGGTGTACAGACAGGAAAAGAAGAAGTTAACATTTCACTATTTGCAGATGATATAATACTGTACTTAGAAAACTTCAAGGACTTCATAAAAAATTGCCATAAACAATAGATTTGTATAGTAAAGTGGCAAGCTACAAAATCAACATGCAGATATCCAAGGATTTTTCTATACACAAGTAATAAATTAGAATAGAGAAATTAAATGAAATTCAACAATCCCATTCATAATTGTGCCTCAAAAAATAAAATACCTAGGAATAAACAAAAGAGGTGAAAGAACTATATAAAGAGAAGTACAGAATACTATTTAAAAATGAAAGAGTACACGAGAAAATGGAAACACATCCCCTGCTCCTGGATTGGGATTGTCAAAATGGCAATACCCACCAAAGCATTATGCAGATAAATGCAGTCCCTGTAAGGATACCATGACTTTTTCAAAGAAATAGCTCAAACACTTTTGAAATTCATATGGAATTCCCACCCTTAATCGCTAAAGCAATAATTTGGAAAAAGTCATTGCTTACCCCAACTTCAAACTATACTACAAGTTGCTACTAGTTAAAACAGTATGATACTGGAATAAGGACAGAGTGTCACATGAATGGATTGTTATGAACAGAAGGGACTCCATTTTGTGTGAGCAAAAGTTACATCATTTTGTGAAACTTTCTTCATTTTGGGTGTGATATAGTTAGAATAGTAAGTTGTTTGCAAGGCCACTGATAATCAGAAATGAACCCAGGCCCTGAAACATCTGGTTATTAATGCTGGGTGGATGCTTCCTATCTTGAACTCTAACTGGCCAAATTTGATTGATGACATTCCAAAATGATTGGACAATGGACCCTTAAATGGCAGGCTTCTGACAGACCCTGTCAGAACAGAACCTCTGTTTCTCCTCCCTGTCTCCAACATACCTGGGACCTGAGCATAAACTTCTGGATCTCTGCCTTGTTCCCCCCATCCCCATCTCCCGTGCCTAAGACTGGGTTGGCCTCTCTCCAGCTTGTCTTCAGCCTGTCTGAAGCATGGCACAGCTGATGAACCTCGTCCCTCTGCTGACCTCGCTTTGGGTGGTCCAGACAACCCTGAGGTGAGACTTTGGAGTTCACAGGACCCCCAATATCCATCACATCAAAAGCATCTGGACAGAGGCCAGATTATAGTACAGCGGGTGGAGTGTTTGCCTTGCACACAGCTCACCCAGGTTCAATCCCTGGCATCCCATATAGTTCCCTGAGCACTGCCAGGAGTGATTCGTGAGTGCAGAACCAAGGGTAATTCCTGAACATGACCAGGTGTGACCCTAAAAGAAAAAGAAATAAAGCAAAACAAACCCAAATAAGAGTACCTGGGCTGTGGCTTCACATTGGTATATAGAAATGGATACCCTTCAAGAGACTGGTGTTGGAACACTGTATGCCTTGTAACTAAACCATGACGAACTACTTAACTTTGTAACTCACGGGGATTCAAAAAAACAAACAAAACCCAAAGACCTTTGCTAAATTCTGTTCCTGGAGCTGAGTGTTCTTTTGACTGTCTTTTCTATCTATCTATCTATCTATCTGTCTGTCTGTCTGTCTGTCTGTCTGTCTATCTATCTATCAATCTATGTGTATATATGTGTATATATATACACATATAATCTTTAGCTTGCTTTATCCTCCACTTCCCAACTAGATGTTCGAAGTGCTCAATGGTGCTAACTATCCCTTAAGTTCTAGTTGTAGCAGAACCCACATTACTCAACCCTCAACACTTTTTCTAGAGTAGGGGGCATGCAGAATCTAGTGGCAGAGTATTTCCTTCCTCTACTTCACTGTGTCTTTCTGCCACACCTTTAGCTGTTCCAGGTCTGGCCTCTCCATGTTGACCACGGCGGCCAGCAGCTGGTCCTCCAGGCCATCTCTGGTTACAGTGAAGTTGATCAATGTAGCCTGAGCCTGCAGCTCCGGCTGGTAGTGAGGATTGGCCAGCTTGGTGTGGAGAATGAGTTGAAATTTGGGGTTATATTCACACTCTTTGTCTCCAATTTTAATGAATCTGGAATAAAAAGCATTATGTGAAGCTGAGTACCTTCCTGTAAGATTGTCCAGGACAGAATTCTAGACTTTTTATTTTCAAAATTCTTGTAAAGAATATAGCAAATTCAGGTGGATTACTCTTAAATATCTAGTATAAGCCTACAATAAGAATCTTTCAATATGAATAGGGTTTGGAATGATGGAATTTCATCCATAGACATTATATTATATTTTGCACTGTTCAAGTGTAGGAGAACCATCAGTTTGTCCTTAATGTAGAATTAGTACAATATGAAACCTTCCCAGTAGATGGCAGTAAAGTTTTTGGAAGAAGGGGTACATTAGTTTATACAGGGATTTCTTATAAACCAGAAATAAGGATTTCATTTTTCATACAAAGAAAATATATAAAAATTAAAATATCTAGGCAGAAAATTATGTCTAATGGTGAATTAAATAAACACATATTAAGGATATGCAAATATAAGTCATCCTGTGATGAGATTCTTGTGAATTTATGATAATTTATTTCTTGAGATTCTACTTCTCCATTCTTTCCTTTCTTTTCTTCCTTCTCCTTTCACACATTTGATAAGCTTTGATCAGGTACCAGCACCTAAAGGAACAGTGGCTCAAGAAATTGACAAGAGCAGAGGTTTGGCTAAAAGGTCTATGTCTAAAAGTGAGCCTGATTTTCTTTTTTTCTTTCTTCTTTTATTTAAAAATTTTTATTAGTGAAACACCATGAGGTACAGTTGTAGACTTACAAATTTTTGTGCTTGGGTTTCAGTTATACAATGATCGAGTACCCATCCCTACACAAGTGCCCTCTCTTCATCAACAATGATCTCAGTAACCCTCCCACCCCCCATCATCCCCATCCCACTTGGCCTCTGAGGCAGGGCATTCCTTTTGTTCTCTCTCTCATTTTGGGTGCTGTGGTTTGCAAAAGAGGCATTGAGTGGCAATCATGTTTGGTCTATAGTCTACTTTCAGCATGTATCTCCCATCCTGGGAGAATCCTCCCAAGACCCTTTATTTGGTGCTCCCTTCACCATCTGAGCTGCCTTTTCCCCTAACGTGTGCAGCTGGCCTCCAAGCCATGGTGTAAACCTCCTGGTATTTATCTCAGCTATTCTTGGGTGTTAGTTTCCTATTTTGTTACTTTGTATTCCCCAGATGAATGCAATCTTTCTATGTCTGTTCCTTTCTTTCTGACTCATTTCACTTAGCATGATACTTTCCATGTAGTACAACTTGTATGTAAATTTCATGACTTCATCTTTTCTAACAGCTGCTTAGTATTCATTGTGTAGATGTACCAAAGTTTCTTTAACCAGTCATCTGTTCTTGGCCACTCGGGTTTTTTCCAAATTTTGGTTATTGTGAACAGTGCAGCAATGAACATAGAAGTGCAGATCTCATTTTGACTGTACTTTTTTACCTCTCTGGTATATATTCCCAGGAGTGGTATTGCTGGGTCAAATGGGAGCTCAATTTCTAATTTTTTGGGAATCATCCATACTGTTTTCCAAAAGGGCTGAACAAGTCGGCATTCCCATCAGCAGTGAAGGAGGGTCCCTTTCTCGCCACATGCATGCAACAACGATTGCTTTTGTTCTTTTGGATGTGGGCCAGCCTCTGTGGTGTGAAATGATGTCTCATTGTTGTTTTGATCTGCATCTCCCTGATGATTAATGATGTGGAGCATTTTCTCATGTGCCTTCTAGCCATCCAGATTTCTTCTTTGAGAAAGTTTCTGTTCATTTCGTTGCCTCATTTTTTGATGTTTTCTTCTTGTGGAGTTCAACCAGTAATTTGTATATTCTTGATATCAACCCCTTGTCAGATGGGTATTAGGTGAATATTCTTTCCCATTCTGTAAACTGTCTTTGTATTTTGGTCACTTTTTGGTCACTGTTTCTTTGGAGGTGCAGAAGCTTCTTAGTTTAAGATAGTCTCATTTGTCTATCTCTGTTTTCACTTGCTTGGCCAGTGGTATGACATCTTTGAAGATACCATTAGCTTCAATGTCATGGAGGGTTTTGCCAACTTTGTCTTCAGTGTACCTTATGGATTCAGGTCTGATTTTGAGGTCTTTAATCCATTTTGATCTTACTTTTGTACATGATGTTAGGTAGAGATCTGAGCCCATTTTTTGCATGTAGCTGTCCAGTTTTGACAGCACAATTTGTTAAATAGACTTTCCTTGCTCTACTTCACATTTCTTTCTCTCTTATCAACGATTAGATGATCATATGTTTGGGGGGGAGATGTCAGTATATTCAACACTGTTCCATTGGTCTGTGGCCTTGCCTTTGTTCCAGTACCATGCTGTTTTAATTATTACTGCTTTGTAGTAGAGTTTGAAGTTAGGGAGGTTGATTCCTCCCATTTTCTTTTCCCCATGCATTGCTTTAGCTATCCGTGGGGATTTATTGTTCCATATTAATATCAGGAGTGTTTGCTCCATTTCTTTGAAGAATGTCATGGGTATCCTTACAGGGATTGCATTGAATTGGTACAATGCTTTGGGGAGTATTGCCATTTTGAAAATCTTAATTCTCCCAATCCTTGAGCAGGGGTATCTTTTCATTTTCTTGTGTACTTATTTAGTTCCTCAAGTAGCATTTTGTAGTTTTCCTTATAACAGGTTTTTTACTTCCTTAGTTAAACTGATTCCTAGGTACTTGATTTTCTGGGGCAGAATTGTGAACGGAATTGTTTTTTTTTTATGTCACTTTCTTCTCTCTCATTATTTGCATATAGGGAAGCCATGGACCTTTGGGTATTGATTTTATAGCCTGCAACTTTTCTGGACCTGGGCTTTTATTTTTGGGAAGACATTTGATTACAGATTCAATTTCTTTGATGTTAATAGGTCTATTCAGGTACTCTAGATCTTCTTGATTCATCCTTGGGAGATTATAGTAATTTAGAAATTTATCCATTTCTTCTAGGTTCTCTTGTTTCGTGGCATACAGACTTTCAAAGTAGTCTCTGATGATCTTTTGAATTTCTTTGGTTTCCATTGTGATGTTCCCCTCTTCATTTCTGATTTGGTTTCTTTTTGAGTCTTGCTAGTGGTTTATCTATCTTGTTTATTTTCTCAAAGAACCAGCTTTTGGTTTCATTGATCTTTCAGATTTTTTTTTTTTAGTTTCCACGTCGTTGATTTCTGCTCTAAGTTTTATGATCTCTTTTCTTCTTCCTGGTTTCTGCTCCTTTTATTGGTCCTTTTTTTTTTTTTGTGAAACACCATGAGGTACAGTTGTAGATTTACAATTTTTTGTGCTTGGGTTTGATTATACAATGATCAGATACCCATCCCTCCACCAGTGCCCATTTTCCACCACCATGGATAATATCCCCCCCACCCCCATCCCCCCATCCCCCCCTGCCTCTGTGGCAGGGCAATCCCCTGTGTTCTCTCTCTCCTTTTGGGTGTTGTGGTCTGCAAAAGAGGCATTGAGTGGCAAACATGTTCAGTCCATAGTCCACTTTCGACATGCATCTCCCCTCCCTCCTGGGAGGGTCCTCCAAACACCCTTTATTTGGTGTTCCCTTCTCTATCTGAGCTACCCTTTCCTCTAGAATGCCCAACTGGCCACTAAGCTATGGAGTAATCCTCCTGGTGCTGATCTCAGCTATTCTTGGGTATTAATCTCATATTTTGTTACTTTATATCCCCCAGATGAATGCAATCTTTCTATGTCTATCCCTCTCGTTCTGACTCATTTCGCTTAGCATGATACTTTCCATGTTGTACCACTTGTATGTAAATTTCATGACTTCATCTTTTCTAAGAGCTACATAGTACTCCATTGTGTAGATGTACCAAAGTTTCTTTAACCAGTCATCTGTTCTTGGGCATTCAGGTTTCTTCCAGTTTCTGGCTATTGTAAAGAGTGCTGCAATGAACAAACAAGTGCAGATGTCACTTCGACTATACATTTTTGCCTCTCTGGGATATATTCCCAGGAGTGGTATTGCTGGGTCAAATGGGAGCTCAATTTCTAATTTTTTGAGAATCGTTCATACTGTTTTCCAGAAGGGCTGAACCAGTCGACATTCCCACCAACAGTGAAGGAGTGTCCCTTTCTCGCCACATCCACGCCAGCATCGGTTGCTTTTGTTCTTTTGAATGTGGGCCAGTCTCTGAGGTGTGAGATGGTATCTCATTGTGGTTTTGATCTGCATCTCCCTGATGATTAATGATGTAGAGCATTTTCTCATGTGCTTTTTTGCTATTCGGATTTCTTCTTTGAGAAAGTTTCTATTCATTTCATTGCCCCATTTTTGGATGGGGTTGGATGTTTTCTTCTTGTGGAGTTTAACCAGTATTTTGTATATCCTGGATATCAACCCCTTGTCAGATGTGTACTCGGCGAATATCCTTTCCCATTCTGTAGACTGTCTTTGTATTTTGGTCACTGTTTCTTTGGAGGTGCAGAAGCTTCTTAGTTTAAGATAGTCCCATTTATCTATCTCTGTTTTCACTTGCTCATTATTGGTCCTTTTCTAAGATCTTGAGCTGTGAAGTCAAGTTGTTTATGAGGGCCCTTTCTTTCTCCCTGAAAAATGCTTGTGGGGCTATAAATTTTCCCCTTACAAGAGCTTTAGCTGCTTCCCATATGTTGTGGTATTTCGTGTCTTCATTATTTGTTTCCAGGTATCTTGATTTCGTCTTTGACTTTCTTCCTTACCCACTCGTTGTTCAACATTGAGTTGTTTAATTTCCAGGTGTTTGATTTGGCTCTCCATGTCTGTGCGTAATTCACTTCTATTCTCAGTGCATCCTGGTCTGAAAAGATTATTGATACTATTTCTATCTTCCTATTTTTATTGAGGTATGTTTTGTGGCCTAGTACATGGTGTATTTTGGAAAATGTTCCATGTGCACTAGAGAAGAATGTGTATTCTTTCTTTTTGGCGTGTAAAGCCCTGTATAGCTCTATAATCCCCCTCCCTTCTATTTCTTCCTTCAAAGCCAGTGTTTCCTTGCTGATTTTTGTTCTTGTAGATCTATCCAGAGGTGATAAGGTGATGTTGAAGTCTCCGGCTACTATTTTGTTGCTAGCAACATCCTTCTTAAAATATGTTAGCAGTTGTTTTAAATATTTTGCTGTTCTCTTATTAGGTGCGTATACATTTAAGAGTTTAATTTCTTCCTGTTTTACGTATCCCTTGATAAAGCAAGAATGGCCTTCGCTGTTTCTTCTAATCTTTTTCAACCTGAAAGTTATGTTGTCTGATACTAGTATGGCCACACCAGCTTTTCTGAGGGAGCTGTTTGTTTGCAGAATTGTTTTCTATCCTTTAATTTTGAGTCTTTGTTTGCTCTGATTGTTCAGATGAGTTTCTTGTAGGCAGAAGAATGTTGGGTTCTTTCTCTGAATCCATTTTGCCACTTTGTGTCTCTTAATTGGTGAATTTAGACCATTGACGTTGAGAGGTTTTTGTTATGAGATTTTGTTTTATCTTTCTGTAAGTGTTGTTGTGTTTGTATGGTTGTCTTATCTTATAGTAGCAAGTTTAGCCCTTTTTTTAGGTTTGGTTTTGAGTCTATGAAGTTCCTGAGCTGCCGTTTATCCAGAAAATAGTGTATGGTTCCTTCGAGTTTGAGTGAGAGTTTAGCTGGATAAATTATTCTTGGTGAAGCATTCATTTCAGTGAGTTTTTTTCACTATATCCCACTATTTCTTTCAGGCTTGGAGGGTTTGCTCTGATAGATCTGCTGTGAATAGAAGGGGTGCTCCTTTGTGTGTGATTTCCTTAGTTGACCTTGCTGCTTGCCTACTGTTTCTCTATCTGTGGATCCATCATTATAACTATGATATATCTTGGAGTGTTTTTGTTAGGGTCTCTTTTAGCTGGCACCCTTCGGGCTCCTTGAATCTGAAAGGCTGCAATGTCCAGCTCTGGGAACTTTTCAGCAATGATTTGTTTAACTGTGGCTTTTTCATTGGGATTATTTCCCTGAGCTTCTGGTACTCCAATGATTCTAGTGTTGTTCCTCTTGGAATTATCTCCTAGGACTCTGATTTGTTCTAGTGCTATTTTGAGGACTCTTGCCATTGTTTGTTGTTGCCTTTAGGCTTCGTGCAGCTGATCTTCCAGCTCACTGATTCTGTCTTCAGCTGTGGCCATTCTACTATTGAGGGCACAGTCTAAATTTTTTTTTTTATTTAATCTACGGAATCTTTGATTTGTGACATTTCTGTGCGTAGTTTTCTAATTTCTGCTCTTATTTCTTCCTGTATTTTCTCGATTGTTTCCTCTCATGTCCTCCTTTAATTTACTGAATATCTGTCTCACTAATTTATTTCATTGAATATCTTTATTACTTCATATCTGAATTCTTTCTCAGAGAGGTCCCTTAGGTGAGTAGCACCTACTGATGCTTCTGGACTGTTTTCATCATCCTCCTCTCGTGGTGGGGATTTGCGTTGTTTCTTCATGTTGTTGTGGAGGTATGGAGACTGAGATGTTACACAATATTGTTGGGTATGAGTAAATTACCTGTGGCCCAAAATTTGGCCATGCCCTCTTCTACAGACTCCACACCCTCTTCTGAAGAGGCCATGCCCCCTACGGGTACCTGGTGTGTGCGTGGGGTACAACCTGGGGGAGGAGGAAGACTGGGCACAGAGTTGGGGATGAAAAGGAAGAGACTCAGGGATGGTGGGCATCCCAGGGTTCTAGAGGACGCCTGGGGTGTGTACATAGAGGAAGCCAAGTTCCAGGTTCGAGTAATGGCTGACCTAGAGGAGGAAGAAGACAGGGCACCAAGCCTGATTTTCAATTGCTATTTTTTTTTTACAGAGTTTGAGGGGAGCCATCCCAGTCTTGTTAGGGGACCAGGGCACTGCTTCTGGCAGTACTCAGCCTGGTGTACAGAGTTTGGTGCCCAAAGAGTTTGGTGCATAGTTACAGTGAGTTCTCCACTAATGCCTTTTGGGGGCCAACAGGACTGTACGCCATGGTGCATTGGGGGCCACAAAGTGCCAGAGATAGATCTTGGGGCTTCTTCCATGAATAGCAGGTGTTTTGGTTTTGTTCTCAGTTTCAATCACTTTCACTCTAAAGTTCTTCCAAAATAGAGAATTAAGTCAATGAGAACTGAGAACACCAATGGATAGAAACAAACTTATTCTGGGAAAGGTTATTGCAAGGAACTACCAGTCACAAACTGAGAAGATTTTTTAGGAAGAGTAGGTCTACCTGGTGGATCACAATTCTACCTCGGCCACAGTCACTCTTCTTTATGCTGATACATTATGAACCTAGCCTAGTCTTACCGTCCTTTTTTAACAAGTTCTCTCCCAAGCAGCGGCCCCAGAATAGGATCAATGGTTTCTTCTAGGTTTTCAATTAGCACCACATCTCCAGCTTCCAGGGCACGTTCTATGGTTTGAAGGTAACTGCGGAAGAAAATTAGTCATGATGAACCAGTGGCAAGACACAAATGCGAGGCATTTAACACAAGAACCATGGCCTTTGAGGCTGACTTTCTGGGATGATCTCACTGGTCACATTTTCCCTTATTTAAAGGAATATTTACATGATCTAATATTGATATGATGAAGAGAGACTATATTTAGGATTCTTAAGATATTTGTATTTAAATGATATTTAACTAATATAAAAAACCAAATAAACTTCTGAATATACATTTATTAGGGGTCTACTCATTGTCAGCTATTGGTTTTGGTACTAGAGATATAGCAAGGAGTGAAAAGAACAGAGTATCTAAAATGCAGTGTTAAATCAATTAGGAATATTTTAATCAAGATTTGAAAAGAGCACAATTATATTATACCTGTTTGGGACATGTGACCAGAGTATCCAGTCTTATTGGGTAAGTGTGTGTGAGAAGTAATAAATTTTAGGTTTAAATACTGTCTTATCTAAAATAAGACAGTAATTTTAAATTTTTAATTGTGAATGTTTATAACATAAAACCTATCATATTGAACTAGTTTTACCCATACAGTTTGAGGGCATTAAATACATTCACATTGTTTGCCACCATTATAACCATCTATCTACAAGAACTTTCTTAATTTTGCAAAACAGAAACTATGTGCTTTATACAAAAGTGTTACATCCCCCCTGCTCCATAACTGGCAGCATCATTCTTCTTTCTGTCTCCATTAATTTTAGTTCTCTAGGTATTTCAAATAAGTGAAATGTTATAATAATATACCTCGGTTCACCACACCCTATAGAGCTCAGGGATTTCTGGTGGTGCTTGGAGGAACAAGTGCCAGAGACCACAGGGTTGACCACGCGTGAGGCAAACACCTTACCTATTGGTATCTCAGGTCCACATTATGTTGTTTTTTTGTATAAATGACAAAGAGAAAACTTTTGTGTTTCTTTGCCTACCCCTTTTGACCAATCTGAGTGACCCGAAGGTCTTTCCTGTATTTGTTCTTGATCCACTTGATGCCTTGCAGCTGAGGGTCAACCATGAGTGGCCAGCGCTCACAGTTGATGAGGATGGTGGCGTTTTCCATGGACATTCGGTCTGCAGGGAGACCCTCGTTCTGCCAGGCGGCCACGTCCGCATCGTCAGTCAGCATCCGCAGGGGGTCCAGATCTGGGGTGATGGGAATGGGAACCTGAATGATGAAATAATGTCACACACTCAAACAGAAGAAGCTTTTCTCAGTTGGGAGCTTATTAACAGATACAATTCCTTCAAAAAAAAGATAAAAATACCCCTGAAGAATACTTTTATGGCTGTGTAAGTATTTCTAGAAGTTGGTTTTCTAAAAACCCTGATAGCTTTTGTCTCTTGATGGATGAAACAGTAGAAATTCAGACTATTTGGACTTTATTCTTCAGTATATTTATCTAAATAAAATTTTTTCCATAGATTGTATTTTGATAGTACAGCGGTAGGGCGTTTGCCTTGCTCGCAGCCAGCCCAGCCGAGCCGGGTTCGATTCCTCTGCCCCTCTCGGAGAGCCTGGCAAGCTACTGAGAGTATTCAATATGCCAAACACAGTAACAAAAAAAGCTCACAATGGAGACGTTACTGGGCCCACTCGAGCAAATCAATGAACAACGGGAGGACAGACAGATTTATAAATACCCTTTCCAATGCTAAGGGGGCACTCCTTGCTACATTTGTTTCTTGTGCTGGCATTATAACCACGCTCTGTGCCTACTAGATTTTGTCATGTCAGTGTCATCCCACTCCTTTTCCCTTTTTCATCACTTTTGACAGGACCTTAGTGTTGAATGGTCTGAAAATGCATACCTTTCTCTATGCTGGGATCATTCCTCTCACTCTAGACTCACCTTGGGTGCATAGTGGAAGACAGTGAGCACAGGTCTCAGCACACCTCACAGCCTTTCTATTTTTCGTCATGGTTCTTAGCTGTGCACCAGACCATTTTTTCTCTCCCGTATAGTTCATTTAATTATTCACAAATAATCTTTTTAATTGGGGGCACATACTTTTTAAAAAATTAGAGTAATATACAGTGTTGCAACATCAACTCTACTTAGTTCTAAGCATTGATCACCACAAAAGGAAAGCCTACGTCCATTTCTCTCTTAGCACCTAGAAACTGCCAGTATACTTTCTGTCTCTATGAATTTATTTACATATTTTGGATATGTCACATAAATTGTATCAGGTAATATGTTATCTGTGTCTTACTACATTTAGTGAGCAGATTGTTTTAAAAGTTCAGCATATTCCTTTTATTACCTCATCTTTCACACCCCTGCAGTTTTTATGGCCCAGTTACCTGAGGAAAATGATCCCCTATTGCTTAAATCAAATTTTGTACAGACAACAATGACATGCAGTGTTATGTCATGGAGCAAATCCTGGAAGGGAAATCAGGCACTTGTATTTCTTATCCTGGGGTAAGAAATAATTGATTATTTGAATTATTAGTTGAATAATTATTCAATAGAATTGTTTTTCCTCTTAATTTTATGTAGCTTAGTTTATATACTGGAAACATTAGTATGAGAATCATATTATGGAATCCATATGTTTTTGAGTACGCTTAAGAGGTCCTTATCACACACTTAAACACAAAGCTTATAAACCCCAAACAGAGCCAAGAAACTGCCACTGTCTTTATCTTATTTACTAAGTTAATTGACTGTCCGTCACTAATTTCCTTTCCTAAAAGCACTCAAGATGAACATATAACAGACTTTTTGGTTTATTTTCTTTTACTATAATAGATTTAAACACATTGATTAATAGTTCATCAGATCAATAAGATTTTATAAGGTGAATGACAATAGACAATATAGATTTTGACATAGACAATACAGATTTTGTATTGTAAGCTGCTTGCAAATACAAAATGAATTTTGCAGTATAATTATTACTGTATATAGTGAACTTTATGTGGTTACCAACTACAGCTGCCTTTTATCACACTAATTTCCTCTATTGGACATGAGCTTTCTGTTGGCAACCTAGCCTCAAGTGGAACTTCTTTCTAGTGGAGTGGTAGTATGTATGGAATGCTTAGTGAATATTTGTGAGTTGAGGATTGTGAGTGGTATGAAATTGCTAAGGTAACAGTAAATATTATTCTGATTTAGTCTTTAGATATAGCCCTGAATTTTTTTTTTATCAGATGCTACATCCCACCATTTCTTCATGTCAGTGCATAGAAAGACTTGGAAATAAAATCTATCCATTTTACATTTTAAAAGGACAAGCTTAGCAGTCAATATGAAAAGCATTTTAGAAATGAATAGCATATGGGTTTCCATAGGACATTGACATAGACTACATGGTTTTGTGGCATGTCAACTGGTTCAATGCGGAATCTGGGAAAAAGCATTTCTTTCTGTAACTATTACATAGTTTGGCATGATGATAAGAGATGGGAAAGGGACATGAGATGCTTTTAGTTCTTTTTAAATTTAAATTCTTTGTGGAGTGTCGGGCTGGATTGATAGCATAGCAGGTAGGGTGTTTGCCTTGCACATGGTTGACCCGGGTTCGATTCGTCCGTTCCTCTCGAGAGCCTGGAAAGCTATTGAGAGTATCCTGCCCACATGGCAGAGCCTGCCAAACTCCTCGAGGTGTATTCAATATGCCAAAATAACAAAGTAACAATTCTCACAATGGAGACGTTACTGGAACCCACTCAAGCAAATTGATGAACAATGGGAGGACAGTGCTACAGTGCTACAGTGGGGAGTGTCAGTGTTTTTGGGCATTAGACCAGGTTAGCATGGAGGCCCAAATAAGATGAGAGACCTTGGTAGCCAAGAGAGTAGAGATGGCAGTGGAAATGACGTGGAAGAATATGGGTTTGTACTTTTCACTGTTGGATTCATAGGGGAAGAAGGGTGCTTAGGTAGACTAGGTAATAGAATAAGGATAGGTAATAGAATAAGGACTAGGTAATAGAATAAGGATGAAAGAAAGTACTAGAAGATTTGGTATATTATTGTCATGTGAACTGACTGACCCCCACAGGCTGCTGTGGTCAGAAAAAATTCAAGCATACCTTTAGCTGGCTCAGGTAAGGTCTCCAGATTCTATCCATGAGGTTCTGCCGATATTTCTTTGTAAAGTAGCCGAGGTATGAAATGAAAGCTGTAATAAGCAAGATATCTCCACATAATTTCATTTCCTGTTGTTTGAAGTTCTTCACAGCTTCTACCCATCTCACATTTTCAGAAGCAAGTCCTCCCACCTGTCATTTAAGTGATTAGAGATAAGACTTGTTATTCTGTAGACTCTATCCAAGGAATCATAGATCTGTCATGGAGGATGCAAAGAGAATATTTAGTACCAAGAAGACTCGACATCATTTTTTGTGTCCTTTTGGTCAGTGACAATTTGTACTGACTAGTAAACATTTCAGTTAACAAGCACCTTTTCTGTGCCATGCTTTATATGGACTATGGTAAGATGACAGGTTTGGAATGTAAGCCTACAAACTGTATTCTTTATAGATGTGGAAACTCAAAGGGTGGTAAGGATTCAATACTACATATAACTATGTACTTTAATCAACTGGAACTATGTCTTGTTAGTAAAATATATAAATATATGAGAAAATTATGTCTTTTTTGTTTATTTTCCAAATGTCAGATATATAAAAATAAATAACATAAATTCCATATGTTTTAGTGGATAGAGAGATAGTAATTAGGACACAGATTTAGAAGTACTAAAACATGGATATAAACCAGTACCAAGACTGATAGAAGATCTTTGAAAAGTCACTTGAAAGAATTTAAAATGACTTTCTAAAGAGAAAATACATTATATATATATTTTCTTTTAAAATGACTTTCTAAAGAGAAAATACATTATATATATATATATATATATATATATATATATATTTTCTTTTTGGTTCATACCCGGCGATGCTCGGTGGTTACTTCTGGCTCATGCACTCAGGAATCACTCCTGGTGGTGCTTGGGGGACCATATGGGATGCTGGGAATCGAACCTGTGTCGGCCATGTTGGCTTCATGCAAGGCAAACACCCTACCCGCTGTGGTATTGCTCCAGCCCCACATAATTTTTTTTTAATATAGGAGTACTGCTTTTTATTCAGCCACTGATTAGCTGATTGAATTGGGCATGAACTTCACCTTACTTCTTTTTTTCATTTTTATAATTTTATTTATAGAATCACCGTGAGAGCAGTTACAAATTTTTTGGGTTTAAGGCTCAGTCATACAATGAAAAACCCGTATCTTCACCAGTGCCCATTCTACACCACCAAAAACCCCAGTATGCCCCCATCCCACACCCTCCCTCTACCTGTGGGGCAGATGATTTCCACATTACTCCCTCTCTACTTTGATTACATTCAATATTTTGACACCAGACCCACCATTATTATTTAGGATTTTACCCCAACACTCAGATCTGCTGAAAAGGCAACAGTACACAATTTGTTTTCTATTGCTGGTTATGAATAAATGATGTTGCGTGGCTGCAGTAGTGGCTGCGTGATTTTGAAATTTCAAAATTTTAATACTTAAATCTTGAGGGATTTCTGCCAAAACCTGCTGGGTTCCAAGATTTGTTCCTGAGTCTCTGGGATCATGGCTGAAAAATACATAATTTCTATGGAGGACTTTAAGTGTATGTGGACTTCAGAGTCTGCATTACGTTTATCAGTTTTTCTTCTATGAAAGATACCAAGGTGTATGTTGAAGGAAAGAATCTTAGATTCTTCAAAACAGCCTGATTACAGTTGAAGAATAATGGATTTCCACATGAAACAGAAGAACTTGTTTGCTGAACTCTTCCCAAATTCCCTCATCAGAAACTTTTGATATGTAATAAAATTGTTAGTATGTTAAAACAGTAATTTTTGAGAAAAGGTATTAAAGGGCAACATATATACTTTAAACTACTCTAATTCTAATTCTTAGACTTTTAGGGCTGGAGTGATAGCACAGCGGCAGGGCGTTTGCCTTGCACGCAGCCAACATGGCTGACCCGAGTTCGATTCCTCCGTCCCTCGTCCCTCTCGGAGAGCCTGGCAAGCTACCGAGAGTATTTTGCCCGCGCGGCAGAGCCTGACAAGCTACCCGTGATGTATTCAATATGCCAAACACAGTAACAACAAAGTCTTCAATGGAGACATTACTGGGCCCGCTCGAGCAAATCGATGAATAATGGGAAGACAGTGACAGTGACTCTAAGACTTTTGGGAGGCCCAAAGACTGTGTGTATGTGTGTGTGTGTGTGTGTGTGTGTGTGTGTGTGTGTGTGTAGAAATGTAGAAATGTTCAGGGTCAAGAAGTCTCATGCAGAATCTCATGTCTTTAACCAGTCATCTGTTCTCGGGCACTTGGGTTTTTTCCAGATTCTGGCTATTGTAAATAGTGCTGCAATAAACATACAAGTGCAGATGTCATTTCTACTGTATTTCTTTGCATCTCCAGGATATATTCCCAGAAGTGGTATTACTGAGTCAAATGGGGTGGTGGAGAATGGGCACTGGTGGAGAATGCGTACTCGATCATTGTATGACTGAAGTGTAATCACGAAAGTTTGTAAGTCTGCAACTGTATCTCACAGTGATTCACTAAAAAATAAATAAATTAAAAAAATCTCATATTTTGGCTTTCAAGATAGCTCAGAGGGCAGTAATACATGCCTTGCATGAGTGAGGCCCTGAATTCTATACTTATTATTGCACCCCCTTCACCTAGCCCCCTACTTATATCAAGTGTCACTGAGAGAGCTCTGGTGGTTCCCAGCACTTATTGACTTGAACATCAAAATGTCATATGGCCAAGAAAAATTACATACAGAGTAGCCCTTGAGCTTGGGAAGACCTTTTTCCCCACCCCAAAGAATATCATTTCATAATCATGAACACATTATTATTATTATTTAAATTAACAGAAATAGTTTTTTTAGTTAAATAGACTAGTTTAATGGTTAAATAAATAGAAAAAGTTGATTATGATTGAGTTTCAGTCATGCAATGTTCCAACACCCATCTCTTCACCAGTGCATATTTCCCATTGCCAATGTCCCCAGTTTCCCTCCCACCCACTCCCTCTCTGGCCCATCCCTCAAACTACCTCTATGACAAACTCTTCTCTCTCTCTCTCTCTCTCTGTATCTAGCTCTTTTGCTCTTTCTCTCTCTCATTTTGTTTCATGTTTTTGCCATACTGAAAGGGTATCATATATATATATATATATATATATAACTTTACCTCCTTTCAGCACTCGGTTTTTGTGCAGAGTGATTATTTCCAGCTATCATTGTCATAGTGATCCTTTCTGTCTTCACTGTACTCCCCTCCCCCTTTTGTGGCAAGCTTCCTACCATGGACCAGTCCTCCAGGCCCTTATTTCTACTGTCTTTGGATATTATTCACATAAAGGCCCTCCCGTTGATCGTCAATTTGCTCGAGCGGGCCCAGTAACGTCTCCATTGGAGACTTTGTTGTTACTGTGTCTGGCATATCGAATACTCTCGGTAGCTTGCCGGGCTCTCCGAGAGGGGCGGAGGAATTGAACTCGGGTCGGCCATGTTGGCTGCACGCAAGGCAGACGCCTTATTCACATAATATGTTTTAATATCCTGCAAATGAGTGCAGTTATTCTGTTTGTCCCTCTCCCTCTGACTGATTTCACTCAGCATGATACTCTCAATGCCAACTATGTGTGAACTTATTTGTTGACTTTGTTTTACCTAACAGCTGTGTAGTGCTCCATTGCATAGATGTACCATATTTTCTTTATTCACTCATCTGTTCTTGGGCATCTCTGTTGTTTGCAGATTCTGGAAATTGTGAATAGTGCTGCAATGAACAAAGGAGTTCAGATGGCTTTTCTGCATTGCATTTTGGGGCCACTAGGGTATATTCCTAGGAGCAGTCTTACTGGGTCCCATAGAAGTTCAATTTCTAGTTTTTTAAAGATGTCTGTGTATTGTTTTCCAGAAAGGCTGTACCAACTGGCATTCCCAACAGCAGTGAATGAGAGTCCCCTTCTCTTTGCATCCATGCCAACACACTGGTTGTTCTTTTAGATGTGTATCAGTCCTGGTGGCATGAGTTGTTATCAAATTGTTGTTTTAATTTGCACCTCTGTGATAAAGTGATGAAGAGCACATGTGCCTTTTGGCCATCTGTATTTCTTCTTTGAGTAAGTTTCTGTTCATTTCTTCTTGCCCTGTTTTGATTGGGTTGTATTTTTTTTTCTTGTAAAGTTCTACCAGTGTCTTATATATCTTGGATATTAACCCCTTATCAAATGAGTGTTGGGTAAATAATTTTTCACATTCTGTCTTTGTATTCTGTTCATCATTTCTTCTGAAGTGCAGAAGATTCTTAGTTTAATTTAGTTCCATTTGTTTATCTTTGCTTTCACTTTCTTTCTCTACCTTATAGATTCAGGTCTGATATCAAGGTCTTAATTCATTTTGGTTTTATTTTTGTGCATCTTGTTAAAAAGAGATCCGACGTTTTTTCATGTAGCTAGCTAGTTATCCCATCATCATTGTTGAAGAAGCTTTTCTTGCTCCACTTCATATTTTTTGCTTCTTTATTGGAGGTTAACTCAATATGTTCCTGAGGGTCTTTATCAGCATATCCAAATATACTCCATTGATTTGAAAGTCTGTCTTTATTTCAGCACTATGTTGTTTCAATTACTACTGCTTTGTATTACAGTTTGAAGATGTCTCCCATCTTCTTTTTTCCAAGGACTGCTTTAGCTATTCAGAGTGTGGGTGTTAATATTCCATACAAATTTTAGAAGTGTTTGATTTATTTATTTTAAAAATTACATGGGAATCCTTATAGGAACTGTGTTGAATCTGTATAATGCTTTGGGAAATATTGCCATTTTTATGATATTAATCCTCCCAATCCATGAGCAGATGCATTTGTTTCCCTTCTCTTATGTCCTCTTTTATTTCTACAAGTAATGTTTTCTAATTTTCGTTATTTCTGAATTAGTGTTTTGTAATTTTCTTTGTGTACATATTTTACCTCTTTATTTAAGTTGATCCCTAGATATTTTCTGAGGCACAGTTGTGAATGGAATTGCTTTTTTTAAAAACTAACTCTTCTATTTCATTATTTGTATATAGGAAAACCATGTACTTTTGCATATTATTTTTGTAGCTTGTCAGTTTGCTATACAAATCTGTTGTTTTGAGGAGCATTTCTGTAGACTCTTTAGGGTTCTCTAAGTATAGTATCACGTCATCTGCAAATAATAAGAGCTTGATTTCTTTCATCTTACCTGGATGCCCTTCAAATATTTTTATTGTCAAATTAGTATGGCAAGTACTTCCAGCACTATATTGAAAATAATTGGTAAGAGTGAGTAACCTTGTTTTATGCCTGATTTTATAGAGATGGCTTTTAGTTTTGCCCACTGAGTAAAATATTTGCTGTGTACTTTTGGTAAATAGCTTTGACTATATTGAGGAAAGTTTTTTTTTAATTACCATTTTGTTGAGAATTTTTATAAGGAATGGGTATTTGATCTTGTCAAATTATTTCTATTGATATAATATGTTTTTTTTATTAATATGGCGTATTATTTTGATTGACTTGCATATGTTAAGCCAACCTTACATTATTAGGATGAATCCTACTTGGTCATGGGATAAAATCTTCTTGATGGATTACTGAATTCTATTTGCTAGTTGAGGATCTTTGCATTTGTGTTTATCAAGAATATTGGGCTGTAATGTTTATTTTTTTGTGATATCTCTGTCTGCTTTTGGTATCAGGGTGATGCTTGCTTCACAGAAACTGTTTGGGAGTGTTTTTGTTTTTTTAATTTACTGGAAGAGCCTGAAAAGGATTGGCAGTAGGTCCTCTTTAAAGGTTTGAAAGAATTCACTAGAGAATCAATCTGGACTGGGCTTTTGTTTTCAGGAAGACTTTTGATTATCATTTCAATTTCCTTGATAGTGATAGGTCTGTTCAGATGTTTTGAATCTTCTTGGTTCGACCTTTTTAGGTTATAGGAGTCTGGGAATAATCCATTTCTTCCAGTTTCTCTCATATTATGACCTAAAGATTCTCAAAGTTAACTCTCAAAGTTAACACTAATGATCCTTTGAATTTCTGTGGCATCTGTTCTGATGTTCCAGTTTTCCCTTATTCAATTTCTTAGGGTTCTCTTCTTTGCTTTGTGAATCTTGCTAGCAGCTTATTGATCTTGCTTGTTGTTTCAAAGAAACAACCTTTGCTTTCATCGATCTCTCCAAATGCTTTCTGGGATCTCACTTCATTAGTTTCTGCTGTAGGTTTTATTATTTCTGTCCTTCTGCATGATTTGGGTTGCTTTTGTTGGTCGTTTTCCAATTCCTTTCTTTTCAGTTAAATTACTTACGTGGGCCTTTTCTTCCTTCCAGATGAATGGTTGCATAGCAATGAACTTTTTCTTAACAACGCTTTTGCCATATCACAAGTTCTGGTAGGTAGTGTCTTCTTTTTTCTTTTTGGGTCACACCCAGCGATGCTCAGGGGTTACTCCTGGCTCTGCATTCAGGAATTACTCCTGGTGGTGCTTGGGGAACCATATGGGATGCTGGGGATTGAACCCAGGTTGGCTGCATGCAAGGCAAACGCTCTGCCTGCTGTACTATTGCTCCGGCCCCTCATGATAGTGTCTTGAGTCTTGTTTGTTTTTGTGAATCTTTTATTTTCTCTTTCACTTCCTCTCTGCCCCACTGTTTGTTCAATAACAAGGTATTTAATTTCCAGGTGTTTGGGTTATTTTCCATTTCTGTTTGTGATTAACATCTACTTTCATTTCATCATGGTCTGAGAAGATAGATGATATGATTTCTATATTCTTGGCTTTGTTATGGTATGTATTTTGGCCCACATGTTGTCTATCTTAGAGAATGTCTCATGTGCATTGGAGAGAAATGTGCAGTGAGAGTTTTGAAGGCCCTTTAGATCTACTGAACTCTGCTCTTCCATTTCTTCCCTCAAATCAAATATTCCTTTCCTACGCTTTAGTCTAGTTGATCTATTGAGAGATGACAAAACATTTTTGAAATCTGCTACTACTATTGTGTTGCTATCAATGTATTTCTTCAAGTCTATTAGTTGTTTTATGATTTTTGCCGGTCTCTCATTACATGCAAATGCATTTAGGAGTGTAAGTTCATCCTGATATACATATTCCTTAATGATTAAGAAATTACCTTATGGTCTCATAACTTTTTCAGTCTAAAGTCTATGTGATCTTATACTAGTAAGGTCACCGTGGCCCTTTTGAGAGTATTGTTTGCTTGAAGAATTCTTCCAATATTTGACTTTGAGTCTTTGTTCTGGCTATTCAAATGTGTTTCTTGCAGGTATCTAGTATTGGGTTCAGTTTTCTAATCTATCCTGCCATTCTGTGCCTCTTAGTTGGTGCCTTTAGCTCATTGGCATTGATAAATATTATTGTTCTGAAGTTTCATTCCCATCTTTCTGCAGCAGTTTGACATGTTCGTGAGGCTTGTCTTGAAGTATCCCATTTATTTCTTCTTCTAAAGATACTTTTAGGTAAAAAAAGATGGCCTGAGACTATGAAGTTTCTGAGTTGTTGTTTATCTCTGAAATTGGTGTATTTTCCCTTCAAATCCAAATGAAAATCTGGCTGGGAAAAGTATTCTTTGTGAGACATTTATTTCATTGATTTTTTTCTCTATATCACAGCACTGTGTTCAGACCTGGAGGATCTTATCTGATTATTGTGCTTTAATTCTTAAGCATGTTCCTTTGCATATAATTTATTTCTTTTATCTTCTGCTTTCAGTATTCTATCTACATCTATGGTTTATATCATTCTGATTAAGTTTTTTCTAGCAATATTATTATTTGGATATCTCGCCAGCACGGCAAAGCCTGGCAAACTACCTGTGATGTATTCAATATGCCAAACACAGTAACAATTGTCACAATGGAGATGTTACTGGGCCTGGTTGAGCAAATCTATGAACAACGGGAGGACAGTGACAGTGACAGATCTTTTACTGGTACCCTCTGGGCTTCCTGGATATGGGTGCATTTACTCCTCAGCTCTGCGAACTTCTCAGCAATGATGGCTTTAACTGTAGCTTCATCATAAGGGTTGTCTTTCTGCCCTTCTGCAATGATTATCATGTTGTTGCTCTTCAACACATCCCATAGTTCTATTGACATCTGTCAGTTTATTTTGGGGCTTTTACCATCTTCTGCTGTTGCTGTTTCTGTCCTTCAACTTGAATCTCACTGATTCTGATCTCAGTAGCTGTTACTCTGCTGTTGAGCCCTCCAGTGAGCTTTAATTTCACATATATTTCACATATTTTTCAGATCTGTCTTTTTTTTTTACATTTTCTTCGTTTTAGGTCTCATATCTTTTTCTATTTCATTGGCAGTGTGTTGCATTGTTTCTTTCAGCTCCTCATACATCCTCAACAATTCTCCAAATTTCTTGTCAGAAAGGTTATATATCTCATTATTATTGGTTGAATCTTCTGAACTGGTGTCTTCATTCACTAGCCCGGTAGGTTTCAGTGTTGCTTATCATAGTGACTTCTAAAATTTGTAGTTGTATTTTTGTGTGATTAGGTGGCTACAATTGGGATGTTTTCATATATTTATGGTGAGTTATGGAGAGTTGAAGAAATGCGTGACCATGGAGCAGAATGGAGTCAAGCTAGGGTAGTTAGTTAAGCAGCCTTTTCCCTCCATATGTACTTCACAGGGAGTAGGTGGGGGATTGGTTCCTGACCTGGGAGGCAATATTGCAATCTTCAGTAAAAAGCAGGGCACTTGATGCCTGAATTTCTTTGTTTCCTGGGATGGGGCTCTATTATTATTATTATTATTATTTATTATTATTATTATTATTTATCAAACATTATATGAGATAGCACAGTGGTAGGGCATTTGCCTTGCAAGCCGCCTGCCAGGCCAAACCAGGTTCGATTCCTCTGCCCCTCTTGGAAAGCCCGGCAAGCTACTGAGAGTATTTCACCTGCCAAACACAGTAACAACAAGTCTCACAATGAAGACGTTACTGGGCCCGCTCTAGCAAATTGACAAACAATGGGAGGACAGTGCTACAGTGCTATATGAGATTAAGAGCTTGCCAATTAATGCTATATTTGCCTTTCAATGCTTCCTTTTTTCAGTATGCATCTATGTAAGTATGTAAGATATTGCATGGGTTGCCTGATAGAGCCTATTTTCCATCCCATTGTTCCTACAGAGAGTTATCTTTGTAGAAAAACTCCTTTGAACAGACCACAATGTGAATTTACATATTTCTTGAAGTCATCAACATATCTCTGTATCTCAGTACGTTTATTATTTTACCCTTGTGCTAAGTTTTGCTATCGATTTTGCACCTCTGTGGCACTTGACAAATTGAACTAATGTGATTAAAAGTTGGACTGCTAAGGATTACACTCACCAGGCGATTTGCCAGAAAAATGGTGCTTGCAGTTACTTCAGCTTCTTGCTGACATTTAAGTTTGTCTGCCATTGCTTTCTCAAACTTTGTTGTGAGTTTCACCAGGTTTTCATTAAGTTGCTGTCAAAAAGGAATACAGAGTCAACTTGGGTGTTTCTGAGACAGTATAGGTATCATTATCACATGTGTAGGTTATTTTTAAGGATGTCTTCCTGGGAAATTTGTAAGATATTGGGGCAGACAGCACTCTAAGGGATTATGAAAGACAGAAATCCTACAGGAATAGAGTGGAGTAGGAGTCCAGAGGTCTATTATACAAGTGGTATGGACCCCAAAGAGAGATCTTTCTTATTCCAATACCTCAATTATTTACAAAGGGCTAGAAGGAGTGATAGACATAGCTGGGGATGTAAATGATTATTTTCCTAATATTGGATAAATGGATCCAGTACTTACCATTTTTTTGCTGGTGCTGCTATTAGACAAAAAAATAGACAAAAGTCTAGGACGACAATACAATGGTCAGGAGGACCATCAGGAGACCTGGGAGTACACAATGTGTTGTTTTAAGCAGTTTTGTAAATTTAGATTGAGCTATCACCTAAGTCCTGCCTTTCCTGGGAATATTTAATATTGTCTATTTCCTTCCATTATCCTGAAGGAAAGGAATTTTTAAAGTACATGGTTTCAATTTATCTAGCATTTAGAATTGAAGTACATAGCTTTCTTTCCCTAGAGTACATATTCACATACATAAAGAAAATAATATGCGAATTCATGGAGCATTACATATTTTTGAAATGAAAACATATCTCTTGTTTATGGATTGGAAGGGTTAATATTGTCAAAATCAAAGCCCTACCAAAAGAATCAATTCAAAAGGAATAACATAAGAATCATTATATTGGGCCAGAGCAATAATACAGCAGGTAGGTCATTTGCCTAGCATGCGGCCAACCCAAGTTCAATCCCCAGCATCCTATATGGTCCCCCAAGCACCGCCAGGAATAACTCCTGAGTGCATAGTCAGGAGTAACCCCTGAGCATTGCTGGATATGACCCCTCAAAAAAATCAAGAATAATTATAGTATTAGAGACCCTGTCACTGTCCTCCTGTTGTTCATCAATTTGCTCGAGCAGGCCCAGTAACGTCTCCATTGTGACACTTGTTACTGTGTTTGGCATATCGAATACGTCATGGGTAGCTTGCCAGGCTTTGCCATGCAGGCGAGATACTCTCAGTAGCTTGCTGGGCTCTCCTAAAGGGGTGGAGGAATCAAACTCGGGTCAGCCATGTCAGCCGCATGCAAGGCAAATGCCCTACCCGCTGTGCTATCACTCTAGCCCATACTAGAAACCCAGGAAGACAATTTTGATGAAGAAGCATTAGTCAAAAAAAATCATCACTGAGAAGTTTCTGTAGTTAAGGAGCACAGGAAACCAGATTCAAAAGGCCCGGTGAGTACCAGCTAAAAGAGACCCAAATAAACACTCCAAGACACATCCTAATCAGAATAACAGAAACAATAGGTAGATAGAAAACTGAAAGCAGCAAGATGAATGAAGGACATCACACTCAAAAGAACATCCTTAAGATTTACATCCTTAAGATTTACAGCAGCTTTATCAAATAAAACCCTATCATCCCAAAGACAATGGTGGGATGTAATAGAAAAACTCAATGAAATAAATATCTCACCAAGAATATTTTACACAGTCAGATTCTTATTCAGATTTGAAGGGAAAAATACAAAACTTCATGGATGAATAACAGCTCAGAAATTTCATTTAATTAAACCCAACTTTATGAGAAAAATGGAAGGAACTACTTTAAGACAAGTGTCACAAACATGTCAAACTTCTACAGATAGATGATATAAAACTCTATGATAATTCCACTCAGTTTCAGTGGCCTAAATGTGGTAGGATGGATTTGAAAATTTAATCCAAACTTCTGCTGCCTACAAGAAAAACATTTGGACAGAAAGGGCAGGCAAAGTCCCAAAGTCAAAGGTGGCAAGACAATATTTCAAGTAAACAACCCCCACTAAAAAGGCCAGGGTGGGCATACTTGTATTAGAGAATTTTGACTTCAGGCTTAAAAAGTTATGATACACAGTGTTATTTCTTTTTCCTTAAAAATTATTTTTTAATGATCACTTTGGATAAGAATTGAGAGTGTTATTTCTTAATGATCAAGGGATATATGTATCAGGAAGAACACATACTTCAAAAGATCTAAGGGACCAGTAAAATACTTCAAACAACAAATAGACTTGGAGGAAACCATTGATTGCAACACAGTAATAGCTAGAGAATTCAACACTGCTCTCTCACCTCTTGATAATAAACTAGACTGAAACTCAGAAGAAAATGAATTTGAAAGAAGAAATGGAAGAGAGGGATTTAGATATATAATATGCTTAGTAGATATATAATTCATATATGTTTAATATATAATTTATATATAATAATTTAGTAGATATATATTTTAGTATACTAATTATATGTATAGAAATATATATAGTATATTTCTCTCTCTAGTACATATTTATATATAGTATATTATGAGTACATATTATAATACTTGGAAATTATTTTTTTGTATGCGTTCTTTTGGACACACCCAGTAATGCACAGGTCTTACTACCTGTTCTATGATCAGGGATTAATTCTTCATTAATTGTTAATTAATTGGGACATGCAGCACTGTAAGGGATTGGCAAAGAGAAATATTCTAAAAAGAAAAATCTTGAAGGGTTCGGGGACCATATACGGTGCTGAGATTTGAACTTAGGTTGGCCATGTGCAAGGCAAACACCCTCCCAGCTACATTATTTTCTGTCCCCAGATAATTTTGGCAATGAAGGAAAATGAGACATGAGCTACTGAAACTTGTGGGACATAAGTGCCGCCAGGCGTAATTCCTGAGTGCAGAGCCAGGAATAACCCCTGTGCATTACCGGGTGTGACCCAAAAAGCAAAAAAAAAAAAAAAAAGGACAAACTATCAGCAAGACTCACAAAGAAAGATAACCTTAATTAATTAAATCAGAAATGAAAGGATGCCATCACAACAGATACCCCAGGGATTGGTGGGGATATTTTGAAAATCTATATGCATGAAAAAAACAGTAGAGGAAATAGATAAATTTTTGGATTCCTATAAACTCCTAAGGCTAAAACCCCAAGACAATATTTAATATGTGAATAACCTATCACTGTTGAGAAAATAGAAATAGTAATCAAAAGTTTCCCCCAACAAAAGGCAGCTCGGATAGAGAAGGGAAAACCCAAGTAAAGGGTGTTTGGAGGATTCACTCAGGATGCGAGATGCGTGCTGAAAATAGACTATGGAGTGAACATGATGGTCACTCAAAACCTCTATTGCAAACCACAACACCCTAAAGGAAAGAGAGAGCAAAAGGAAATGTCCTGCCACAGAGGCAGGGCGGGGTGGGGGGATGGGTGGGTTACTGGGATCATTGGTGGTGGAGAATGGGCACTGGTGGAGGGATGGGTTCTAGATCATTGTATAACTGAAACCCAAGCATGAAAGTTTGTAAGTCTACGACTGTACCTCATGTTGTTTTACTAATAAAAATTAAATAAAAAAATAAATAAATGCTCATTTCCCCTCAAAAAAAATCTTCCCCCAAGCAAAATGCATACACTAGTAACTGTATCCCAAGGGGCTAAAAACGCACTGCAGAAAAATACATCTTGATCTTACATCCCTGATCTTAGAGGGAAGACTTTTAGTTTTTCCCTATTGAGAATAATGCTTTCTGTGGACTTGTGGTAGATAGCTTTGACTGTATTGAGGAAAGTGCCTTCAATTTCCATTTTCCTGAGAGTTTTCATCATAAATGAGTGCTGGATCTTGTCAAATGCTTCCTCTGCATGTATTGATAAGCTGATATGATTTTATCTTTTCTTTTATTGGTATGATGGATTATGTTGATTGGCTTGTGAATGTTAAACCATCCTCATTGGTGCTCCTTCAGAGGATGTGTTCTTTTACACTAGACTTGTTCAGATTCTTGTGTTCAACATTACCATGCATTTTGGGAGTACTTTGATTTGAGTAGGCTAGTAGATTATTGGCCTAATGTTTTGGGATAGCCAGGCCGTAATAATTATCTAACAATAATTAGATAACAATATATATCTAAAAATAATATATATCTAGCAATAATTAGATAATTATTACAGTCTGGCTGTAATAATTATCTAACAATAATTAGATAATGGAGGTTGAGCTATGAGTTTAAAGTCCTATGAAAGGGGAAAATTACTGTGACTGTATGAGTTGCATGAGCTGTTGCTGCCCCAAGTCCATGCCCCCGCTGCTGCTGTACGTGTGGGGAAGGGGCCCACATTGGTGCCGGTCCTGGGTTAGAGTTCTACTTCCGGTACACTTCTAAAATCACAGGAGTCCCCTCTGGCCTAGGTGTTCCTGTGGCACTTTAGCCAAGAAGGGGTCTTTCAGTTCACTGTGACTACTTGCTGGGCATGCTGCCCCAGAGGCTACTACATCTGCACTTTCATTGCAGCACTATTCACAGTAGCCACAATCTGGAAACAACCCGTGTGTTCAAGAAAAAAAAAAGACTGTATAAAGAAGCTATTTTACATACACACTATCGATTACTTCTTGCTGGTAAGAAAAGGTGAAGACCTGCAATTTTCTGATACATGGATGGATCTGGAGTGAAATGTATTAGAGGGAAAGAAAGAGGGATAGAATAATCTCTTTTATATGAAGAGTATAAGCAAACATTGTAGGGGAAAAACAAATAACGAGAACAAGTAGACAAGAAGCAGGAGTACTGCAACCTTCCTATAAAGAAGCTTGGTGGGGTGGCAGATGGGAGAGATCAGGGAAGGGACCATTGTGACAATGATAGAGGGAAATGGTCACTCTGGACCAGGACTAGGTGCCAAAAGGAGGCCAAATGGCATGTGTGATACTCTATCAGTAACAGTATTATGAACAGTGCTTGAAATTTTTAAAAAATAGTGCCTTCCATAAGAGGCAGGTTTGCAGGTTGGGGTGTGGTAGAGGGCCTGGGAGTAATGGTGCAGGGACATGGACACTGATGAAGAGATGGAATGATG